TACCAAGAGAGCCACAAAGATATCATTGGAAAAAACCTCTTGCCATCATTAGGAATTGAAGTACGTCAACGACACGTGTCAAAAGCGTTGATTGAAAGTTTCAGGAACCAGGAAAAAAAGCAAGTTCAGTACTCGCCATTTCAACGAAAGTATAACAATTGTATTTAAACGAATTCATAGGGTTGTTTGTCAGAAAAAATGTACTGAAGGAACCGTTACACACGATACAGGTAAGAGTAACGGGTCCCTATTCACGTACGGGCTAAAGTTGAAGAAACCTTGGAGAAACTGTTTTAAAATTATCATATTGTCAAGTTGGGGAAATTTAAGAAGGATTTTTAAATTTTGCCTACAGTCCTGACGGCGAAACGCGACGGGTCTGAACAATTAGCGTTAAACTCGAAACTGATAAGCGAACATAAATTCTGGCACCTCTATTAAATGCTTAATATGAATGAGCTTGTTGAAAATGCAGCCAGCGGTAATACTACCGAGGTCATCTCGATCTCCAACAACGAATTGAAATACGCTTAATGCTTTAAAACGGGGTTTTATGGTTTGGGAGATATGCCCAACGAGTTCCAGCGAGCGATGGAGTGTATATTAGGGCATCTGTCAGTGGTACATGTATTTCTAGACGACATATTGGTCCCAACACGGGAGTCTGACAAACGCCTTGCCGTGGGAAACTATAAAATGAGAGGAGATCAGGAAGCTACCTTCGATAAATGTCCATGGGAAAAAAGCCACTGATAAAAGTCAACGGCTGTCACAAAAGTTATTTCCCCTGAGATGATGTTCCCTACAATTCTTTTTGACTGGCCCGAAATTTTTGATGCGTAGTCAATTCCGATCCTTACAAAAGAGGATGAAATCCTTAATTGAGTAGTTGAGGCGTTAATTGCCAAAATTTATGAACAGAATAAAAAGTGAGGCCAATGGTTCAACCATTAACTTCATAAACTTCAAAAATCAAATGGCATTCCATTTCCTGAACTTGAAGACAATCTGGTGATGCGGCTGCCATCAAAATGCGACTGCTTAAAGCAGTTAAAGGAACGTTTAAGATGCGCAAAGTGGCGAACAACTATTTCTTGTGGCCACCTATAAATCGCAAAAATCAGTCAACAGCACCGAACTGCAGGGAATGCGTCAAATTGGATAAAAACTTGAAGTCGCTAATATCAGAGTGGTATTTGGATATTTTATAGAGCCAAAACAAAAATTGCATCTGGGTTTTCTACGACCATTGCCGCCGGTACGGGGAGCAAAAAGGTATTTGATAACCTAGATAGAATTTCAAAAATCAGTCGATACAAATTACAAAAAAACAACAGCAACGGTGCTTGAAGATCCCAAGGGCATGTCGAACAGACCCAGGTTTAGGGTTTGTAGAGAAATTAATACGTGACTTTTGCACAAAGAAAAACTTTCAGTTAGTTTCTGCACCGGTGTGAAACCATCGAGCGACCGAACTGATGGAAAGGTGTATATGTAGAATGCGGGAACGTCTAGCAGTGTACTTGTTCCAAAAACTTAGACCTGCACTGAAAACAGCTTTAATTGAATTTTTTTTTCACGATAAGAACAACTAAACACCAATCATTGTGTTGTTCACCGTACTGAGCTCGCTTGCGCTGTAAACTGAATACTTTTTGGCTTACGGTTGAGAACAGTGCCTCCTTAAGTAAATTATTATGGTAAAACGTGTTTTATTACTCAATCCGAAACAAGAAGATGTTTCCCGCGCGGTTCATGCAATACTGCACCAGTACGGACGACGAAACGATGATGGGTGTTCACTAAAGGATCGAACACTCCTTGGCGGGAGCTCCACAGGCTCACAAGTTGAGACAACCGGGAAAAAAATGAAGCGCCGGCTCTAACCGCACAGCAAAAAGTTTATCAAATTTTACCGAAAACTCAAAATCAATTAAAGTGGCAACCATTTTTCGAGTTATTAAATTAGAAGGTGGTGCCTAATTCTGTTCATACAGTTGCATTGAACTCGGAAAAAATAATGGATTAATCTGACATTTTGATAAGACTAGGTGACACAGCATCAGAATCAGTAGTGAAACTGGAGAAAGCATCGATACGGGACGAATTGTATCAACGCAAAGAGGCAGCCCTGCAGGCCAACGCAGAGTCCCCAACGGTTAGATCACCACGCAGGCCATTATTTGATACAACAGGCTTAGCTTATAAACCGATCTGCATATACAGCTCGTCAAAAGGACCGATGTCTACAGAAGCCTGATCTTAAATCACGTTACGATCAAGATACTGCAGGAGAAGCCAGAAGATCCGACGCTGGCAGAAAAACCGATTGCGAACTAGGGCGTCAAAGAGTTTCAAAAACCGACAACCTGGACAAATTGTCTACTACTCAGTCTCAGAGGCTAATAGAGTGGTGACAATGAATACTGGACCTATCTTGTCGGCGTAAAGAGGAGGGCGAACTGACAACGATTCGTGAAGCGATCAAAATGGAGCCTGCAATCCCACATCGGTTTTTCGGGCGAGATCCAGGAGCCAAAAGTCCCAAGCCCAAAGTCCTAAGCCCATCCTACATGATAACACGAGACCTTTAGGGAACGAAGGCAGCCAAAATTCCTCGGAGAACGATTTTTCACAAGTACAATCAATTCTGAGACACATGCGACTAAAGTGGTAACCACTAAAGACATCTCGGAGTAAAGTTTGAATGTGTTATCACAGACGGCCCTGAGACCCTCATGTTTGAAAACGACCAGTAGAACAATAGAGAAGTGCATGGAGGAGACCACACGACAGTAAGAAAAAAGACTAACAGCCCGAATAATATACCGAAACCAAAAAAAGGACAACAGAAGAACATGCTTCGATCGAGAAATGTGTCGATTCTATTGGGGGCTGATTATAACTAGTTCGCACTCACAGGTCTGGACCAGAAGGTTTCGAGGTACTTTGTGGATGTTCTTGGCAAGTTACGTAGATTCGTCAATTATACCAATGGCACAGCGCGGATAATTGATACTCAGGGCAACAACTCGGACGAAATCCGATTTCACGTGCTATAACTAGGACTTTAGCGCGTATTCCGATTAGTTGGAAAACCCCTCACGCGGAAAGTTGGTATATATAACCCAAGTGGAAATTCGGAGGACATGAGAGGCCATTGACGAGGTCGGACGAGAGCCTTTCGACAGAGTGGTTGTCGAATCTGGAGTGACAGTACCAGTGTCAAGGCGAACTACGAGCATACACATCGAGAGTGAAAAAATCCAGGTGCAGAAGAAGCAAGCATCTGAGACAACAACCACCAAGGGAGAACTAGGAATCACTGATGAAGCACATCGAAGTTTGCCATCGGATGAGGCGAACCGAACTCTGCCTTTGGCTATAGAAGAAGATGTACTGCCGGTTCAGGAAATATTACCGGGGCAGATGCTCCTGGTTAAGTTAGTTATCAGCGGCGACTCTGGTGGTGCGATGGCCACATACGGTTTAGACATAGGGGATAAAAAGTCGGCCATCAGCATGACGGAGGAGGATCAGCGGCAAATTCTCGATGAACTGGAGATCCTCTGAGATATAAGAACAGAAACCTAGACCAGAGGGGGAAGTTGTGGTTTGTCTGGATTCGGATTTTTGATATTGAACTTTAAACTCAAACAAATTTAATGCAGCAAATTGATTATTTTAGTATGATGTTCTAGATTTAGTTGAAGGGGGAGTGTAGTTGAGACTGTATGACTGTTTTGTAACTTATGTTAGATGACAATTTTACGTATTTTATTGATAAAGTGATATTAAGGTCAACATACTAGAGAACGCTGTGGTCAAGCTTTAATCTTTAGAGACCCAAAACAAGCCTCAAAGGGCTTGAGAAGTGGAATTATAATTAGCTTGTGTTTTCGGCACCATTTGACTACGTCAAGCGCGGAACCATAGCAAACCCCTTTTTAGTCGTTATTTGAACTCCAAAATAGGGCTTTGGTTCCGCGCTTGAAGTAGATAAATGCCTGTTCTCAACTTTTTCGTTTTCAGACTAAATTACACGGATACTAAATTACACGGCACGACTTTGGAATAAGTTTTGCAGTGCAGCGTTACACCTATTTTGATTGCCCTTCCTTTTTGAAGTAAATCAAAAACAGAGCTTTTATTGACGGTTTAATTTAAAACTGTAATTTTAGATGTTTTCGATTTTTTTCTACTCTTGGAACTTTTTGTATTAACTATGATTAAATTTGTTGTTTGTTAGACCAATTTGGTCGAAAGCGACTACAATAGAGTCTACTCGTATACTAGTGACTACAGTAGATACTCGTAATTTTCGTAATTTATTGGTTTTTCGATAACGGTTTTTCGTAATTGTTCCGACTTTCGATACGAAAGTAACGGAATATTTGTGCTCGGGGTGGGTTTTTTTTTCTTCAGACAAATTTCGACTTTTTAACTAGCCATTTTTGACGGAATTTTTTTTATCATTCAAAAGGTATTGTTGTCCTGAGCTCAAATTTGAAAAAATATATCACCTGTGATCTTTTTTCGTAAAGTTATGGGGGTTTAAAGATTGGATTTTGGCCAATTTGGGACAATTAACGCGCGAGATATTTCGCGCTATTAACGCGTAAGCGGAGATTTAATCCGTCTTAAAATCGTTCCAAATTGGTTGAAAGAAGCTTATTTGCCATAATAGATTTGTTTTAAGGAGCTAAATCTATCTTTTGGTACTTTAAATGGCGTGTGGGGGGATGGCTTTCATAAAAATTTCAAATTAAAAATTTTAATTTTAATTTTTTTACATTTAATTTTTTAATGTTATTACTGCTCCATAAAACCTTACAAGGCAGTCGGAACATTCAGGGCTTCGCCCTGATACGAGCAATCTTGTTTTCTTTAAAATCTACCGTGGTTTAGATCTAAATCATCTATAGCGTATTTTTTCTAATTTTTCTAAGAACATAATTTTGTCTTGAGCAAGGAAACAATCACGCTTATTTCAGGGGGCTCTCTGCATGTTGAAACAGGTGACTTCCGATATGAGAATTCCAAAAGGCGCAAGCACTCTGTGGTCGGATGGTTCTTCCCCGACGGGCAAGTGTATTAGTTTTGCACTGAGAATAAAACATATATAGAAATTGAGAATATTATATTGAGCGTCCAAGATGCGAGGAGCTCAAAAAGTCTTTGAAAATTGAAACCTGCTCATTTGAGAAATGCATATAAACAATGGCAATTAAAAACAATGGCAATATCACAATAATCCTTTTTGTTGTGTGAGCCTAAAAAACATTCATTTGTGAAAGTTTAAATCTGCGATTTTTTTACTGGCCATGTGTCTTCTTAGCCGCGGCGTTTTGTTTCAATCTTCAGCAAACGTATTTTGTCAGCCGATCGGTGGTTCACAGCCCTTTATGTTTCACACTGAAATGACCTAAACTTGCCTAACTTCAAAGAAAATGGCATTTTGACGAGAATGATCAAACAATCAAAAAAAGTCAAAAACTGCATTGCATATATTTCGCGCGTCTTTCTGTTGAAAATTATCATACGCTGAAGCCTACAACGCCTTCTGAAAAAACTTAAGATCGGTCAGCCAAAAATTGACGCAATATATATGTTTACACCCAGGGGCAGATCTAGGATTTTCTCGAGGGGGGCGGATTTTCAAAATTTTTTGAAAATTTTGTCAATTTTTTTTCCATTTGTCAACCAAACAAATATTTTGAACTCTCCCAAAGCACTAAAAAGACCCTGATTTAGGGTACAATTTTCTACGCCGCAGGCAAAATTTTGAAAAAAAAACAGGCCAAAAAAGGCGTTTTTAGGCAACTTTTGGAAAATTTTGACCAAAAAAACGCGTTTTTCGGCGCGCGCTTCCCCCTCAAAATTAGTACAAATTGGTGTCAAAGGCGCTTTTAGAAAAATTTTAGGTTCCGTCACCAAATAAGGATATTTCAAAATAGTACAAAGAGGGACCCTTTGGGTCGGCAGGGGGTCGAATCCCTGAGGGGGGCGTCCCAAAAATCCGCCCCTGGTTACACCAAATAACAGAACCTTTGAAAAACCAAATGGCAACCAGAAAAAGAGATGGAGAAGATCGTTCAGCCAAAAATTGACGCAATATATATGTTTACACCCAGGGGCAGATCTAGGGTTTTCTCGAGGGGGGCGGATTTTCAAAATTTTTTGAAAATTTTGTCAATTTTTTTTTAGGTCAACCAAACAAATATTTTGAACTCTCCCAAAGCACTAAAAAGACCCTGATTTAGGGTACAATTTTCTACGCCGCAGGCAAAATTTTGAAAAAAAACAGGCCAAAAAAGGCGTTTTTAGGCAACTTTTAGAAAATTTTGACCAAAAAAAACGCGTTTTTCGGCGCGCGCTTCCCCCTCAAAATTAGTACAAATTGGTGCCAAAGGCGCTTTTAGAAAAATTTTAGGTTCCGTCACCAAATAAGGATATTTCAAAATAGTACAAAGAGGGACCCTTTGGGTCGGCAGGGGGTCGAATCCCTGAGGGGGGCGTCCCAAAAATCCGCCCCTGGTTACACCAAATAACAGAACCTTTGAAAAACCAAATGGCAACCAGAAAAAGAGATGGAAACTAAAGTTTTTGGGGTTCAACACTGGAATTATAGGATCACAACGGATCTTTCTTCTTTTCCTTGTAGGTTCGAACCGAGAGAGAGATTCAAGCACGATTTGGCAATGGTTCGACTGTTGGATCCCATAGAAAAAACTAAGTCAATCCTCCCAATTTGCAAGGAGCTCACACCCTATACGCCCTGCAAAGAGCGAATGGGCGCGTGTGGGGTGGGATCCATCTCGGATAATATCAAAAATCTCAGCAAGACCCTTCAGGAGACGTATTTCTTCGAGTCAACTATGCTGTCCAATTCAAACCCATATGACTTCCGTTGGTGCAGCTTGCAGAATATTTGCGTAGACAGCGGGATTGAGGCAGGGTTGCTAAATAATTCTGAATTGTTGGCTCACACGAGCAATTTCCCGACTAATTTAATTTAGGGAAATAATCGTTCACTTGGTAAAGAGCAACCTTTTCCAGCCAATCAGTGACGTTTAATTTTCCAGCCAATCTATGCTTAAAGTTGACGTTTAATAATAGAGGTTGTGTGGGTTGGTTAGCCTAGGGAGAATATCAATAAAAAAATCAATTACGAATCACGCACCTTACTGAAATTCCTTATGATAAATGTAGAATTTTTGTAGTGCCAATCCGGCCGGATGACAGTCACGGTAAGACTACAAGCCTGTTTTCAGGTGCCAATTGAGAGCAATTTGGAAAGTCAGAATCTTGATTTTTGTTGTTATCTGATTGAACCCTTAAGTTTCATTTGAGCCGTTTTTGTTGATGTAGATGATCTAAATGATAAAGATCGAAAAGGATTTTTCATTATGATTTTTTGATATGTACTCGGGGGGAACTCCTCCTAAAAAAATAGCCAAGTTTTTACCAAAAATCATTTTCACAGAAATCACTACCGTGCACATAGACTTCGCTAAGTTTATGAACAAGACTGTCTAATTTAGTTGCTGGGCATTGTATTTTATTTAATCTTTAGCCGGAGAAATCTTTCACATGGAAAACAGGAAACGGAACACTTAAAACTCGAAATTTTATTCTTCGGTACTTTTCGAAACTTGGAAAAAATGGGTTTGACTCAACTTAATAAAGAATTTATTTTCAAATCGGTTTTAAAATGATACACTGAAAAACGTCCCATTGAAAAGGAAAAACAAATTTTTACTGACACCAAAATGTTCCACTATTCTTTTTTTTGCCTGTAACCATCTATATACTAATAGCAATCCTACCTAAAAGGGCACAAGCATATGTCACTACGACGATGGAGGTCCTCTCTATACGTTCAAAAGTGGCACCCAGAAGCCAGAATGTCTGTATGGTGTGGCCAGTTACGCTCGGTCGAGCGGAGGTGTCCGTTGCAAAGGGGGCAGTTACTTCGCTAGTGTGCCTTTCTTCCACAAATGGATTGAGAAAATGATTGAAGAGTATTGAGAGATTTGCGAAATAATTTTCTTTTGAACAGATTCAAAGTTTTTGTTTATCAAAACTTTTTTGACGAAGTTTCAAAAATTTTGATAGATGCTTAATATTTTTGGTTGCTACATTTTCTTCTACAGAGAGCTATTGAAGGGTTCTAGAGTTCTGTTCGTCTTTCAAGTCACATGAACTTCTTCATTATGATCTTCTTGACTTGGTCACCACTGGAGTTGTTTACCATGGTAACCACACCAGCAACATAACTGTAATCTTTGTGCACTGAGCTTACTGTTATGCTGCTGGCCTGGTTTCTGCTCTTGTTCCCGCTCCAAATAGCAGAATGAACAAAGTACTCTTTCTTTATTCTTCTTCCATGCAAATATATTGTGACGGCATCATTGATCTTTTGTGCCGACTCGTAGTTTTGCAGCTTATAGTTTTTAGACTTTTAAAAACTTTCCAGTGTATAACTGGTTATACACTACGAAAAAATATCAACGACTTTTGGCAATTTTTTTGTCATAAACCAGCTCATTTGTCAAAAACCTTGAAAATTGGTATTTTTTTGTGTCCTACACGAGACAAAAATGGGTACTTTTGTGAGGTAACACAAACTCACCCAGATGAAAAGAGGAGAAAATCATACAAAAATGCAAGGTTTATTTTTCTCTATAAAACCAAGATAATAATAAAGATGCTATTTTATGAAATTTTCAAAGAAAAGACAGATAGATTTTAAAAATGAAAAGCATTTATTGATTAAGAATTAAAAATTAACAAGACTGCTCGTATCAAGACGAAGCCCTGAGTGTTCCGACTGCCTTTAAAATGGTGAGCAGTGATAACTAGAAACAAGCTAAATGTAATAAGACGAAATGAAATTTTTTCAACAAAAATTGTAATTTTTGTGAAAATCATCCCCCCACACGCCATATAAAATATAAAGTGATAGATTTTGCTCCCATTTTCACAACCAATTTGGCAAATAAGCTTTCTTTAACCATTTGAAACGATTTCTAAGACGGATTAAATCTCCGCTTACTCGTTAAGAGCGCGAAATATATCTCTCGTTGATTGTCCCAAATTGGCCAAAGTGGCAATCTTCAAACCCCCACAGCTTTGTGAAAAATGTTCAGAGGTGAATTTTTTTTTCAAATTTAAGCTCAAGACAACATTACCTTTCGAATGATATCTAAAAAATTTGTCAAAAATGGCTCCGGAAAGTCGGAAAAATAATGCAAAAGACGAGAAGATAAGAACAGTTATGCTTTAGTTTTAAAGACACAGCTAGCAGTCTTTGAGTTATATACCGAAAATCGTTTCGTCGATTGAACGGAAGTAAATAAGAGTATCATAATTTTTTCGTTTGATTTTGTTTTTGTTCCGACATTTAAGGAAAACTGAATTTTTATGCTTGGTGTGGCTTTAATTTGTTCAGTCAATTTTCAGCGATCAAATTCATAATTTTGACTAAAATTTTATTTGCTTTATTGAAGATATCGACTCCCTGAATTCAAATTTTAAAATATTTAACTTCACATATTTTACCTCCAATCTTTTTTTGCAAAATTTTGGGAGTTTGAAAATTGCCAATTAATGCGCATTTTGAAGATTTTATGCGTACTTTGAAAATTTTATCCATAATTCTGAAAGCGTAACGTGAATTTCCTGTGTGTGGCAAATTATCCCGCACAACAAAACGTTTCAAAGTGAATTGAGGCAAGCGGTTACGTAGCAAAAAGTGGACAAGCCATAAAGTAGACACATCAAAAAGTAAACAAACGCTTTATCAACGAATCGAACAAATGCACGAGATAAACAAGACTGCTCATATCAGGGCAAAGCCTTGAATGTTCCAACTGCTTTTCAAGATTTATGGAAGCGTAATAACATGAAAAAACTAAAAGTAATAAAATGAAGCTAATTTTTTTTAATTAAAATTTTGAGAATTTTTGTGAAAACCATCCCCAAGCCATATAAGTATAAAATGATAAAATTTGCTTCTACTAACAAATCAATTATTGCAATTAGGCTTCCGTCGACCAGTTTGGAGCGATTTGCAAGTTATATTAAATTTCCGCTTACGCTTTAATAGCACGAACTATTTTGCTCGTTAATTGTCCCAAATTATTCAAAATAGCAATTTTTAAACCCCATAGCTTCACAAAAAATGATCACAGGTGAAATATCTTTTAAAATCTCAGCTTAAAACAATAATATCTTTTTAATAGTATAAAAATTTTTGTCAAAAATGGCTAGTTAAAAAGTCGAAATTTGTCTGAAGAAAAAAATCCGAACACAAATATTCCGTAATTTTAGAACAATGAGTAATTTTGATTTTTGCTTGAGTTTGTTTTTTTACTCCACTCTGCTTGGTCAATACTTGTACAAGTCTACTTTTTGATGATATCTAATCGAAGGTAGCTAATCGATTGTTTTAATTTCGCGCGACTCAAGTTTTCACACTTGATCTTTGATATTGTCCAAAATTTATAGTTTTCAATTTTTTTCCAAAATCTATTTGTTATGGCTTAAGGGGCGGTCGGAGCCGTTGAAGCTGTATTATGAATGACAATTTCGCAGAACTTTTTTTAAGTTTCAGAAGTTACATCCCTGCGTGGCATCAATTTGTTCTTAGCAATCAGTTATTGGCTAAACTTGTGAGAAGCAAACTTATTTTGAATATTGATGGCTTCACATGGCCAACTATGATCACTGGCCAAAGTAAGATTATAGAAATATACAACTAATCATCAGCTTAAAACCATCAACTCAAAATCGGATCAGTTCGTATTACTATTTGTTATAAGGAGCGAAATCTATTGTTTTGACCTTTATATGGCGTGTGGGGTGATGATTTTTATAGAAAAACTTTCAAATTTTAGAAAAAAAAAGTTTTTCATTTTATTTTATTTCATTTAATTTTTTTATGTTGTTTATGTTGTTACTGCTCCATAAACGTTAAAAGGCAGTCGGAACTGTCAGGGCTTCGACCTGATACGAGCAGTCCTGTTTTTTATCTAAATGCTAGTTTCTATTTATGCAAATCTTATGATGGATCTCGGTGATTCATAAGATTCTTGATCGCTGAGAGAACTCCGATGGTGATAACTACAATAGTCGTAGCTGGGGTAACACTAACTAGTTGACACATCGAACTTTTTGCTTCTAATTCGTTGTCCGCATAAAATTGCATTTATAATTTTTATTTTAACTTCAGAATTTGTGATGAAAATTATGAATGAAGTTCCATCATTTGTTTTCTTAAACTTCTGTACGTCTGCATTGTTTATTGTTCCGACTTTCGATACGGAATATTTGTGCTCGGGGTGGGTTTTTTTTCTCCTGACAAATTCCGACTTTTTAATTAGCCTTTTTTGACAAAATTTTTTATATCATTCGAAAGGTATTCTTGTCTTGAGCTCAAATTTGATAAAATATTTCACCTTTGATCGTAAATTTATGGGGGTTTAAAGATTGCATTTTGGGCAATATGGGACAATTAACGCGCGATCTATTTCGCGCTATTAACGCGTAAGCGGAGAGTTAATCCGTCTTAGAAATAGCTCTAAATTGGTTGACGGAAGTTTATTCGCCATAATTGTTTTTTTACAAGGAGCTAAGTCTATCCTTTTGTACTTTATATGGCGTGTGGGGGGATGATTTTCATAAAAAGTTTCAAATTTTAGAGAAAAAAATTTTCTTTTTGTTTTGTTTCATTTATTTTTTTAATGCTATAACTGCTCCATAAACTTTAAAAGGCAGTCGGAACATTCAGGGCTCCGCCCTGATACGAGCAGACTTGTTGCTTTTTATGAATTTTTTAACTGCTGATTTTAAAGTCTTTTGTCTTAGCTGCTTTCTTTCATTTTACGATTTGGTTCTTACGCGTGACTGTACTGCTACATATCAATTTGCTGCTAAATTTTGTCCTCTGTCACTTTTAAATTTAATTTAAGCAACAATGAGATTGGTCTGTATCCAAGCTACCTGTGAGACATATTTCTGATCCCCGCATTTTGATGCCCTGCCTAAAGTTATTTTGAGTAGAGGTTGATGTAGAGGTGAACTAAGCGAGGTTTGAGTAGAGGTGAACTAAGCGCCATCAATTTCCTTTTTTCTTTATTGGTTATAGTTGCCATTCTTGATCATTGTATGTCATAAGAGCTGTACTCCGTCATAGAAGCAAAAATGATTTTTCTAATTGGGCCATACAAGTGAAGAGGAGTGAGGCAGGGGTTGGAAGAGGAGCCATTGTTCATGGAGTTTGTTTGGTTGCCGGAGAAGTTGAATAACTTGGAAAGCACTAAATTTTAATGACCACTTCATAAATTCGACAAAATTCAGTTTTCCTAGTTCAAAAAGATTCTTTTTCTCCTCAAAGTATTTTATCATTACTTTTATTTTGGAAGCAAAAAATGATAAGAAAACGAATGCCACAAATTCAGGAAAAAATTTAAATCCAATTTCGGGCTCTCATGTTAAAAAATATGGGTGCAGTCAATCAAAGTTTTATGAAACATTATAAAAAACAGTTATTGTCTCGTGAGATATCCTGTTTCATGATGTTTTTTTTTCAAACTTGTTGTTTTCTTAAAATCGCTAATGTTTTTTGCCGCTTTTGAGTTTCAAAATTTTTCATCTAAATGAGGGCTAGTAATACATCAATCAATTCACTCTTCAATCATTTCCATGAGGGCTAGTAATACATCAATCAATTCACTCTTCAATCATTTCCATTTTCCGTGTCTACAGGAGACTGAAAAAACGTCTGAAGTCTATGACAAAAACTTCGATCTTATAGAAAGGTTGAAAGAGCTAATAAGTTGAAGTGGGTAAAGATCTTGAAAAACGAGAACACTGATGAACACTTAATTTTGCTGCAGCCATTTCTAAGACTTGCATATACCACTTTTTATAATAAAAAGGAAACAATTTTCGGAGCTTCTAGAAAACGTTTAGTATTTCTTTTTAACTTTATTGTGCTAACAGACTTTTTGAAAATATTCATCAAAGCGGACCTAGAAACTGGGGGAAAACTGTTATTTGTGTGCCAATATGTACGACAGAACAGTGTGACCATCAAATAAAGCAGGTGAAAATTTATTTGCGATTTTT